GGCAAAAATGTACAAACCTACTTCCGTTAGGCAAACGCCCACCGGGTTTTCACATATCTGTGAAACGACAGTTTTCACAAAACCTGACGAGCGGTTTCCCAGAAACGAGTACACTCCAAAGTAATCTCATTACAGAGAAACCCAATTTGTACAGCGAAAGTGCGTGTGACACTCATGCGGAGAGGATGTCTGACAGATTAGCTGTCGTGTAACTTTGGAGAACTGAATGGAACATCGTGTAGAAATTTGTTTGAGTTGTATTCAGAATGCTATGTTCTTGGCGACGCCATACACCTTCTGAAAGTGACTCGAACCATGAGCACTACATCATCCGGTACAACCCATGGTCAACTTCGCTTACCGCTCCGAACACTGCCCCGTGAAACAGATAGGATATTTTCTGGATGGTCCGTTGTCTGTTCGGGGTGATTCAGTGAGATCCGTCTCTCACCAGACAACTCATCCTCACTGGGCGTAAATCTGAGTGTACAAGTTTGAACGAATATCAACCGGTCATCGGAGAAATGCGTCTTCCAAAGTCCTGTGAGATCCACGGATGACCGAAGTAGTTTTACGGCCCGTCTCCTTCACTTCGGGACATCAAATGCACAGGATCTGATGGGAACCAATAGGTTTATTCAAGTCGTCTAGCACACCGTCCTCGGAAAACTCAAAATTATCTACATGGGGACACTTCAACTCACATGACATAAAAATTTCGTATGCACAGGCAGCAGATAACAACGAATGGATATTGTATGGCACAGGAGGACTATGGCACTTTTCGGTATTGTCAACCGCGACCATGATTTAGGCAAGAGCAAATATCTTTCTATTGAGTGGGTTCCTAAAAGTGTACACAACAGGGTATCTGTCATGTACAAGATGAATTTCCCACCTCATTCATCAACCGACCTACTTGAGTGTTTTGTAAGGGAATATGGCGTGCCGTTTGACGTTGGTGGATCACGGTAGATCGTGTAGTGGGTAATGCAGACACAAAAAACATGAACTGAAGGTCACGCCTGTGGAAGGCCATGGGCTAACATCATCTTGGTCGACAGACGGGGACTCTGTCGGTTTGTCTGCCAAGGACGCCGGATCACCTATCCACCTAAATCTTACAGCTAATGGTAGTATGCAAGATATAGCTCACTACAGTGCCTTGAGTCCATATCATTGCATCGTTCTGGACCTGTCCTCTAAGCGCATAACTATCCGAGGGTCCACTTTGGTCACCACATGAGTGTCGTGAACTGCGAGTTTGTGGCAACGCTGTTCATCGCTCGTAGCCAAATTGCCAAGTGTTCAAACTACTGACTGGAGGTTTAAAACTTCTAGAGTAATGCTAACGATTCCCAATGAGCCTGAAACAGTTGTACAGTGCGCCTCCTCTAGTCAGCACAACTTCGCATCACTTAGGCAATGAAACCACAACTTAAAGTCCCCAAACCGTCTCCTGTTACTAATAAACTGCGCTGTCTTATGTCTTTGATACTGTTTCACACGTTTTAGAGCGTAACAGTATATCTGAGATTAATTCACCCATCAACCTTGTTGTGAATACTACTCAGCATACAAGCCTTTTGTTTGACTATTGGCATGTCACTGGACACAGGTCTACGTGTCCTAAGCTGCCGTGGAAACAGCTACTTCATACTTATTGGTACTACGCTAGTTGATACCAATTTCTCAGTCGTTCAGAGTGCAAAACGTGTTACCGTGTTGACTGATTCCGAGCCAGGCGAACTGCGTGAATGTAGTACGGATGGCATTATATCCAACTTGGGTGTCAGTTACTTAGACGGGAGATTCGCTTGAGTCTCCCGTGAGAAACAAACTGATTTGCCAATGAGTGTATTTGTCGAAATCAGTTCAATTTGGATTCAAGTATAACATTAGGTTGACGGAACGTTGGGGGCTGGACCTACCTGATGAGCCTCAAGAAGGGCAGAATCTGTCGTGGGCCATCGAAGAGCTTCAGCAACCCTGTGAGTAGTTTCCTTAATGAGGCTAAGTATCTTGAGTTCGTGAGCGATGGCACTGCGCTTGACATCACTTCGGCTTGTGGACTGCTCGTGTTTTGTTCTTCTACATTCGAGAATATGGATTCGAAGCTCAATGACTGCAGTATGATTAATGCTGTTCATATATTATCAGGTACAGTAACTCCTGGCGAAAAGTCAAGGCCGTAAGAGAGTGTAATACTTTCTTAAGGGTGGCCCATCTCCGGGAGCAAGTGAGGTATTGGTTCACCAGAAAAGTACCGTTTCTCTATAGAGATTTCTGATGACGAGTGATAAGGTGTATAAGTAGATCTGATTGAATTAACTAACCAAAGTGGGAACAACCAGCTCTTCGAAACAGACAATCATAATAAACTCTGGAATCGATCATAGCTTTAAAGAGAATTGATTACCTCTTGGTTTGCTCATTCAGTTTCTCGCATAGAACAATAGTGAGTTTCAAATCATACACTCATCTGCACGCCAGATTGGTTTTAACGGGAAATTTACCTGGAACCAAGGTGAATCTCTCCTTTATGATATTTCTAATCAACTGAATGTGTTGAAAAAGGCCCTATTACCTCGGTACGATATTCAAAATATCACAGTGAGCTAATGTGTAGACGAAACACACTACTCTTAAGGTTGCTGAAAACTGCTCAACAGCTGACATCGGTTTCGTACTTCTTGCGGGCACATCAGGTAGGCAGAGAAATGGAGAATGGCGGAGAACGTGGAAAATTTCCTCGCCTCAACTGAGTGATCTCCCTTTTTTGAAATTTTTAGTTGCAGTAAACTTCATGAGAAATCCCTCTGAGGGGGGAATGCTCCCATGAGGGGATCACAGAGACATACCAAGTATGGAATCGCTTCAACCTAAATTAGTCCACAGGATGGACACAACACTTCTTTCTTCCGTAGAGTCTCCTCTTTGGCAGTGGTCGCCGTGGACTCATTAGAAGACCGGGCCTACCTTTGTGGGGAAGGGGAGTTACTTTGGAGAGGTCACTCATCAGATCACGCATCACAGACACTCAAACCACGCGACAATTCCTGTCACACTTGCAACCTTAGCCGACAACTTGGACACTACAAATTCTCATCCATTTTTGTTTACGCGTAACGCGCGCGAACATCAAGTCAAGTTGTATTCATGTTGGTGCAAGCATCAAGCACGAAGGCACACCCCTCTCTTCACACTGCACACAATAAACAGGCATACAACCAGGCTCAACGCACACACACACACTCGGGCACACAGGACAGGAAGTCAACAGAGCTCCGCGAGTCTCCACGGCCAGCCACGGAACACGTGCAGCAGCTACACTGCAGAGAAGACACGTCCCACGTCCGGAACTTCACTCAGCAACTCTCAACAAGTGTCCTTTAACGATAAGTCACTTTTTGGCTTATACCACTTTTCGCATTGTATCTACTCCTATCGAGTGCACCTAATTATTGTATTCATCACGTTCTAGACATTTGTTAGTGCTTGTTACCTTCTGATATAATCAACTTAATTACTTCATCAGAACTTCCCTTGGCGTCATCACTACCAATCCTTTTGGATTCAACGTGATAAACTCAGAATTGCCCTTAGTAAGTAAGTAACTACCCTATTCAAATGTGCTCACAATATATCTGCCAACAATATTTGTCTTCACTTTTCAATATTATATGCACATCAAAGGATATTTTATTTGACAAGTCCCGATAGAAATGTGTCGGAAAACCGAACTTATCAGATTGTACTTAATTTTAGCAAAACCGATATAAGACAAACACCTACTGTGCGGTTGCGAAAGGATTAAACCTGTACGAACCAACCGGGTTTTTTTCGGAACCCATGCACTTTGGTCCGATGACCAGTTGCTACCGCTCGACTTTTGAACACAGCGTGAAACAAATGTTTTTGACACTGGGTAACCCAAAGGATTTCATCAAAATTCTTGGTCCATCTGGTGACCAATGAACGGTCTAAATCTAACGAAAATTAGGTTCATACTTTGAAATTCGCGGCCTGCTTTTTAGTAAGCAAATATTCTAACTTGAACACTCTGAAATCCAGCTTTGTGATTATATATATGTGCATATGTAATATACATATATATGTACTACACATATTTTTACTAATAATATGTAAGAATAAGGTGAATCTAAGAATACCGAAACGGATAGGATGCGCTAATTGGCTCAAAACAGATTCGTGAAATCTTACTAAGAATTGGATGTTTTAAGTTTTCAACCAACCTGAAAATTTTTCAGGAATACGAGACCTCTCTAGAACGAACACTCTGATATGAAGATAATTCCTCAGAATAGGCTCAGAATTGACCTATTTTACAAAATTAAGGTATTCAGTGTGTGCTCATTTTCGATAAATCAAGCAAAAGCAATAAACTGTTCAACTTGAATCCTCTCCAGTTAGGTTCACGACGGTGAAGCGTGTCCGTGGGTTGCGCTCCTCTGAGGTTGGTCTTTTCGACATGTTGTGACCTTTGAAGATGGCCATCGTCACTAGTCTATCAAAATATCGATAGATTGCGTGCGTTTCATCGATTTACAGTATTTTTACTGCCATTAATAAGCAAATTGATAAGAAACGTGGAAAGATACGTTAGATATTTCGGTGTACCTTCAGGCGTCCTTTGCGATGGATGGATGTCTCTTCTGACACTGTAACTGCACGTGACCAGCCAACAGATAGATCGCGATTGGCTAGTTTGAAGCCCCAGTGACCGGAATTATGCAACTTCCGCTAGTGGAGGTAAGAAATTTCATTACATTGAGGCTGCTCTATCGGTTCAGAACACCTGTCTAACTTGGCAATGGATCGCCGCCTCCACTAGTCTTCCGAATGTACAAGGGTTTTTTGTTTCAGTAATCTGTTCATAGCCACACCACTCTCATTTGAACGGTCGCCCTCCTGTTCTGGCGTAATTATTCCGCTGAGTCCACACCAAAGGGAAGCACTGGACTCGAGTTTCGCTCCCATTAGAGTTTATCAGCAGTGCATATCCAATGGCCGTGACGGGATTCGAACCCAGGACATCTGTCGTGCGAGGCGAGCGTGTAACCACTATTCCACCAACGCACGTTGGATGCATCTGAATTATCACGTCTGAACAGGCGAACGTGTTCACACTTGATCAATGTGATTGGTGTGCCCGACTCATCGAACGACGACCCAGTAACTGTCCTGTTTGTGACGATCAATTGACCCGTAATCAGTAATCAAATGCTGAGGCTGAAAATGTATGTTTCACGCAGAAAACTGATAAGGGTACCCGAAATGCCAAGGCCCTCTCGATGACGTTTTACAGCTTTGAAATTATGTGTCCTCAAAAGCACAAACATCAACCAGGCGCTGAAGCTGCCTCCCCGATGTACGGTGAAGCCTTGGAACGACTGTTACATGCTTTGACAAACGTAATAAATTCACCATTATTATTACTTTTGTTCAATTTTTTATCTCACGGAAACTTGTTATTCCTGGTTTGGGAGTTGTGTGATCAACTCGAAACTCTGGACCCATCGAACCAGTGTGGATAAAAGAAAAAAAGAAGAAAAGTTAAGCAGAATATTAAGTCATTTTGCTTTCATCTGTCTTCCAACTTCTACATAAAAAAGGGCAGGGTGATGCGAGTGGGTGAAATTCAGAGTCACGTGATCAGCACTCTGACGTCTTGATAAATTACCTCAGAAGTTTTTGTTCAAAAGAACTGGCTGCTGACGTCTGTTAAATGGACAGAAAGGAGTTCTGGGTTTGGGTTGCGTGATCCGAACAAGGACTTTGATCTGATGGCCACTTTTCAGCACGCAATTGGAAATAGGTTCTCAGTTTGACTTTTGACGTTTTGGAGGCCGAAGTGCGAATCCTGGAAGGACGTACTGCAGTATATGTACTGCATTACCCTCTGATAGAGGTCGATGAGTCAGTGTTGATCAAATAAAAAATGGTGTGCACGCAAGAGCCCTCAGAACAATTAATTAATCCAATTGAAAATTATACAATAGTCATTACTTCAGCTAGCTAACTGATGGAATCGTCACCGCATTTTCCGATCAGCGCCCAAGATATTCATCCTGATATTGTGCGTTGCACAAGGGGAATAAAATCTGGTAAGCCAATCAATAAATACTATTAACGAAACACACGCTTGCAAACAAATTCGGTTTTTCAAGAGACTCACCTGGAACCCATCTGAACCTCTCGTTTATGATGTTTCGAATAGAATATAAGGCTGACGGAAACTCGTGGACTGCGCCTACCTTATGAGCCTCAGGAAGGGCTGTCGAAGAGTTTTCAGCAACCTTATGAGTAGTATATTACACCAATAACCGCCATTGTTCGGACATTCTGGCCAATGAGTTTAGAGTTTTCAGAACCTTATGAGTAGTATATTACACCAATAACCGCCATTGTTCGGACATTCTGGCCAATGAGTTTACTTTGTATCCCGATTGGCGTTTTCTTCCATTTTGCTCCTACCGAAGTGTTCTCGGGTAGAGCACAATTTTTGAGAGACTCTCCATGGATTCTACCTGTTGTGCAAAGTTGAATTACACGCTGGAGTAAAGTGGAGTAAAAACAGATGTACTAATGATCTGCGCCAGTCTTTTAAAGTTAAGCTATTGGCCTGTTCGCGCAGGCTTTCAATAAGCCCATTGAAACATGATACCTTTGGTGTTCTTGATGATCCAAGCTAACGGAACATAAAAGGTATCTCTTCACTAGCCAAAGTGCCCTTTTGATGGGTTGTGGTCAAGTTTAGTCGAACAGGTTTGACAGACTTCCCACCTTATTTTACTATTTAAATAATATTTAAATATTGTTCATGCATAGACTGTATGTGGATCTCCTGTTCTATCGATCGATGAAGGCTGGAAACCGCAGGAATCCGTGTGATGGATGCTTTTGCAGTAAATTTGATTCTTTTTGACACACAGTTAGATGTGGAGGGGTCTTAACGATGACAATCGTTTCGAAAAGTTGCACACTTTCATTTAAGCGCGAAAACCCCTAAATTTTGACAAATAATGACAAACAAACAAGACTGTCTTATGCCTGAAAACAGACTCCACTCTGTTTTGAATGAGAGTATTAAATACATTGTTTGATATGAGCTTTGTAAGCGTTTGCGCAGTTTATTAAACTCACGATCAAAACGCTCGCGTTTGAACAGTCCTCTTGCTATACTCATTCTGATTGGTCAGCATCAGAGAGGGCAGCACTGGACTCGAGTTCTGTTCTCATCAGATCTCATGAGCAATGCACATCCTTAGTCATGCAGCCATTTGAACACTGTGGTAGGACAGGCTAGGCGAGCGTGATATCACCTCTCCGCAGTGCACGCTGCACACACACAGGTGATTTCGCTCACGCTTCAACGATGTGATTGGCTTGCCAGCTTTCTCAAAGCCCAACCCAGTGTTTCTCACAATTTTGCCGATCGATTGACTGATTTCTCTCTCCGTTTGCTTTCGGATAGCTTTTTCAATAGCTCTACAAAGCACACCTCGGTTATTTATTTTCACAGTCAGATGTACTGCACCGCGCACTTGATACAGAAAAACCGGGTTTTCAAACTGACAAAACGTCAATCTGAATGATGACGATCAAAACAAAAATGGCCACAAATATATCTGTAAATAAAAACATCTTTGAATGACTCGTGAAAGAATCAGCCTAAATTGGCTTGATTGTGTGACTCATGGCAACGTCTTTCAAAAGCGGGTTCATTGGAAATTCATCTAATGGTAAAAGCGAATAAGCAAAGTAACTACTTAAAAAAACAAATAAACCTACAGGATGTAATCCCAGTCATGCTTGCGCTGTAAACAGATAAAATGTACTCAGGTGAGTTCTACAAACTATGTATGGGTAACTTTGGGGTGAGGAGTCTGAAGAGATCTGGCTTGAAAGCGAACCCACTATGAGGGGCTCGATTTAAACCGCCAACAGGGCTGTGACCAATCAGCTGTGGAATTCGTGTTCACGAGCCACACGGGGTATTCGAAAGGCCGTTCGATAGAACACCTGTCCCCTAAGTAGTTTTGGGTCGATTACATCTACCAGCATATTGTACTTCTCATGCCATGTGTGTCTACATTACTCAGTACACAATCTACCATTATCCATCAATATCAAACGGCACGCCATATTCCCTTACAAAACACTCAAGTAGGTCGGTTGATGAATGAGGTGGGAAATTCATCTTGTACATGACAGATACCCTGTTGTGTGCACTTTTAGGAACCCACTCAATAGAAGGACATTTGCTCTTGCCTAAATCATGGTCACGGTTGACAATACCGAAAAGTGCCACAGTCCTCCTGTGCCATACAATATCCATTCGTTGTTATCTGCTGCCTGTGCATACGAAATTTTTATGTCATGTGAGTTGAAGTGTCCCCATGTAGATATTTTTGAGTTTTCCGAGGACGGTGTGCTAGACGACTTGAATAAACCTATTGGTTCCCATCAGATCCTGTGCATTTGATGTCCCGAAGTGAAGGAGACGGGCCGTAAAACTACTTCGGTCATCCGTGGATCTCACAGGACTTTGGAAGACGCATTTCTCCGATGACCTGTTGATATTCGTTCAAACTTGTACACTCAGATTTATGCCCAGTGAGGATGAGTTGTCTGGTGAGAGACGGATCTCACTGAATCACCCCGAACAGACAAAGGACCATCCAGAAAATATCCTATCTGTTTCACGGGGCAGTGTTCGGAGCGGTAAGCGAAGTGACCATGGGTTGTACCGGATGATGTAGTGTTCATGGTTCGAGTCACTTTCAGAAGGTGTATGGCGTCGCCAAGAACATAGCATTCTGAATACAACTCAAACAAATTTCTACACGATGTTCCATTCAGTTCTCCAAAGTTACACGACAGCTAATCTGTCAGACATCCTCTCCGCATGAATGTCACACGCACTTTCGCTGTACAAATTGGGTTTCTCTGTAATGAGATTACTTTGGAGTGTACTCGTTTCTGGGAAACCGCTCGTCAGGTTTTGTGAAAACTGTCGTTTCACAGATATGTGAAAACCCGGTGGGCGTTTGCCTAACCGAAGGAGGTTTGTACATTTTTGCCCAATCTGTCCAGTGGAATAAACGAAATTACTTGATCGATTTGCGTTAGTTTTGAATAGAACTAATTGATGAACAATAGAGGGTTGTCAGATGCGAATCTTAGTGTCGGGTGGTTGACACGCTTTCCATTGAAAGGAAACTGAGCTACTTAAACAAATAGACTTGGTTGCATTCTGGTTATAGTTTCATCGATTAACAGGCGGAAAATTCGAACCAACCCAACCATTCTTGTTTGTATTTTGTAGGTTCACGATACAGTCGTCGACCTTTCAGTACTTTCCGAGTAACTATGAAAGTCCCTAACTGGGTGTATTCTGTTCACAGACATTTTCGAGTAAGAATCCCGTTTCGGGACCTCTATACAATCCCAGAAAATCTGGACTTGGCAAGTCGTCTCTGGTGTTTGTTTTTCTCTTTGTTGTCCGTATCTTCGTGAATTCTAGTGATGGTTTTGAAATTTTCTCTGCAAATCTTGAAGGGTTTGTATGGAAACTCGTTTGGATTGCATTCACCTTGGATAGCGGCCTGTGGTGCTCTCCATCTGCGTAAAACCGTGCGGAATTCGGAGCTTTGGAAATCAGTTTGTTTCTGGGCTGTGTGAAAACCGTGCCTTTTTCTGATGTGAGCATTCACAACTAATTGGTAGTTTGAATCCCATTCGCAACCGGACTGCATTCGAATCGATCACTTGTGGGTGTTCGGCTGACGTGTACTGGTGATTAGATTCAGGTGGGGGTGAATAAGCCGCACAATATTTCTCGGCTTCATTTAATTGACCTCCCAATTTGTTGGAACCGATTGGGGATCCACGAAATGCCCTGCTCGCTACTGCCAAAGTATCCGTTGCTCAGTGGAATCTGAACGAGTCATCTAACCATTGGTGTAAGTTTGTGACATCGAGGGGCGTCACATTAAACGGGTATCCCGTTTTGATAATCTAAACATCACACGCGTTGAACTCAACCAAACGTTTGCCGCTTTCCGACATCTCGATGTTAGTAATCGGCGCCGTGTTCGTGATGGACAACAAGGCACAAACAACTGCCACAGAGCACCTCTTAACCAGATTGACAAAATCAATTTCGATCTGATTTGTCTGTTGGTTTGACCAGGCAACGTTTTGAAAAACACCTTGAACTTTCTGGCACCATTCTGTCTGTCGTAGTATCTTTATCAGATTTGAGGTGTGATGTGGGCAGTCGCCTAGTTTCCGGTGAGCACTCAATGTATTTAGTGACCTATTCATCTAGTCTGTAAGTGTACAGGATTACTACCGGTATATCACCTAAAAATTCGCCTGGGCTTTACTTATTTGTCGCTGTGCGTTTCTTCTCTCCATCTTCTCGTTGCTACGGTAGTAAGTATAAGACGAAATTGGTCGATAGCCCACCACCATATGTGTTTCACATTGCGGCATTCCATTCTCCTCAGCACATATTTCTATGGTATGTATATGACAGTTCCTGGTTTGTTTTACGGGTGGTCCGGCAAACCATTCGCATTGCTCATCTCCTGTTCGAACGTGAAAATTCGTATGCGTCCAACGTGCGTTGGTGGAGTAGTGGTAACACGCTCACCTCGCATGTCAGATGTCCGGGGTTCGAATCCCGGCATGGCCATGGGATATGCACTGCCTATGAGCTCGAATAAGAGCGAAACTCGAGTCCAGTGCTTCCCCCCTTTGGTGTGGACTCACCAGGATAATTACGCCGGAATAATTCGCCGTTCAAATGAGAGTGTTGCGAATATGTGAACAAAATAGATGCCTCACAAAATCCCACAACTGAAACAAAAAACGTCGCTCAGTGGGTTTCAAGCGTCTGTGACTCTACCTGACTGGGAGGTCCTGGGTGGTGGGCTAATCGATCGTCACAACCAGGACAGTGATTGGGTGGTCGTTCGATGGTTCGAGCACACCAGTCACACCACTCACATCACACCAATCATCGCCTGTTCGGACGAGAAGGTTCGTACGCGTCCAACTTGCGTTGGTGGAGTAGCAGTATCACCCTCGCCCCGCATGTCAGATGTCCGGATTTCAAACCGTGCACTGCCGATGAGCTCGAATAACAGCGAAACGCGAATATGTGGACTCAGCAAAATAATTAAAGTAGAAGGGCTGTTTGAACATGAGTGACGTGAAGCCTCATATACATATTGTCGGTCATTAGCAAATACAGAGTTTAGACTTTTTCCGGTTCATTTTGTAGAGGGAACGTGACAGCCTTCATACGATGTCCGCTTGCTGGCTCGCTAAAAGCAAGGGGATCCGTCTGTGGTGGATCGTCATTTCTGCGCGAAAAAACTTGGCTTTCACAAACACCGGATGACACTACAGCTTCCAATCATCCGTGTAGTACGTTTCTGCATATGATCCACTCTGTTTGACAGCCTATTCTGCATACGAAAATCCGTTTTGTTTTAAGAGCGCTGTCCCCACTAAGGGAATGGGAAATTGGAAGACAAAAGACCAGCTGGAGTACACCATGAATAATTGATGATTATTCAGCGTAGAAACGTTTTCGTTCCTGCCACTCACACTGTACACCCACCTGGTTCGAACTTTCTTACTTGAATAGCAGACCAAACAAACACCATACTCCGTTTCGTTTATAAAAGCAGAATGAAATATTCAAACTTTCCCATAGCTTGGTTTTTGGAAAATAAACTGAACGAAACGTTTGCTAGCTAGTTATTATGAGCAAGAGTATAGCCATCGAAATTTATCAAGCTCCCCATGTTCACCAATCAACTTCGTACACACCGATTTACGCTCGAATGCGTAACATCATTATATTTGTTTGTGGAGTTTGGCGCTAGCAAAAAGTCAATAGGCTTTTTTGGAGGGGGGACGATAGCAGAGCATTCAGTCAGTCTGGTGTGAACGCTTCAGTGAACTGCCGTCGGAGTTTGTCTAAACGCGTTGCACGTAGCTTTGATTGCGCTTATTACGAAATTACAGTGCGCCATATTTTTCGGTAGAATGTAGTTTGGCGAATTGTTAGCATCTGAGTATTCGAATACATCCCAGTGTGGAGAATGAAGGAGTCTTACTTGACAGAACGTCAAGCAGAGGGTTCACCCAGTTGTTACCCAGCTGATTGGATTTTCGCCCACACCGGCGAAATAAGCGGAAAACATAAGTTGAAAACACTAGAACCTCAGATCTGTATTCAAAAGATACACCAGAGAAATCATCTTGACTGTAAATGAGTAAATAAATATGTTCAGATTCTTCAAAGCAACCCCAGAAAGTTCGAAACCTACTGAGACCCTAGAACCCCACCAAAATCTCCATTGGAAAGCCAGCAAGCATCCTGGCCAGTCAATACTTCAATCAATTTAGCAAAAGCTGATGAGTGTTCAGGCACACCACAGAAGCACGACCGAATGTGACCAGCGTTCAGGCATGTCATAGAAGCACGATCGATGTTGATGGGTGTTCAATAAACGCCTATCAGACAGTCTGGATCAATGCCAAAAGGGGACCATAAATGAGTAAGTCTATATGTGATCCACCAACGTTTAATTGTAGGTTTGGAACGAGCTGAGGAGGGACAACGAGGAACACAGAACCGTGAAGGTGGCCCAGGCCAAAGAGGAGGGCTTACTTGAAGCACTCCAACTTGAGCCTTTGACTCAAAAGTCTAACCCAGGAGGCAGCGGACAGTGAGGTTTTCTTTAGAGACTCTTCCCTGAGCCGATGACCTGATCGGCTACAGAGGAGTAGCCCAGTCCGATGGCGCGGCTAGCAAAACGTTGCACTCTCACTCCCGATGCGGCTGCACACAGTACGTGCCTTGTGAGGAGCATCGGACACTGACTTCAAAAGTATTTCGCTGTATTGAACAATGCGCTGGCTGTGACGGCCGGCTGCCGGGCGATCGGAGTGTGCGGTTTTTAGGGCTGATCTTTTCTAACCCGTCCTTCCTAGGGGTAAGGCAGTATCGCTGCTTCTATAAATAAGGACGCGCGGGTCGCCTGGGGGGAAAACCTCACTGCCTTCACAATCCTATCGCAGAGAACAGTACGACTTTAACCCAAGAGCGCCTAATGGCACAATTACTCGTAGTACGGGGTCTCGTTGCTCTTGGTTTGATTGATCCCCTCTGGCCTTCCTGAAATGGTTGCACCTTGCGGAACGAAGTTCCAGCCAGCCCGCAGGATCATTTCAGAACTCAAGCTCGACCACCACGTCCAGATGGCATCGTTTGGTTGAGAGTGAGAAGTTTGGGGAAAGACCAGGAGTTCGAGAGAAAGTCGAAGAAATGGGTTTTCCGGAAAATGGTGATTTAATCATTGTCACCGAGCGACAAAACCAGACGGACATCTGTACTCTAGCCCGGATCTGTGGTCATGCACAGGGCGTACAAATAGTCATGCATGGGCCAACAGTCACTGTGGAATTCCAAAGCAATGGGGATCTGTTCAAAGGGCAGGGATTTCAAGCTTCCTATGAATTTGTCCATCGAACTCAGGTGCAGTCATCACCCTACCTTTCCGCTGCTTCGCAATTTTTGGAGGAGAGGCAACAACGAGATCATTCCTACATCAATCCCTGGGCGGCTGATGACAATTCACCGCAAATTGGACAGAGTGAAGGTGAGTGAGGAAGGATCAGAAAGGTAGAACTTATTTTTCAGTTGTCATATGTTACACGTTTGACCCGAGAATAATGGAACCACAAACAAAAGTAGGATGTTGTCCGTTCCAAAATGTCTTACGCTCGATCAGCGTTAATTACGTCACACCTGGGAAACTGCAAGAATGATTTCACCACCCCGGTTTGCCACCAACAAAGAATTTGATAGAAAGGAAAACGACTGACTGAAGAGGACAAGCTAAAAGCGCACGTACCAAGAAGAGATGACATTGCGGGTCATCGAAAACCGTTTGGACCGCTTGCATTCCACCGTTCGATGTGGAATATCCGACTGTTTTCATTTACTGATAATAATCCAAGAATAAGCGTCACTATATCCTGTGCAAGTGAGAGCTATTCACACTGCTAAACATTCACTCATGACCGGACGGTTAAGGGTTCAAACACTGGCAGGAAGATCGTGAGTTCGAAATCCCTGAGTTTTGTGAGATGCGCACTGCGCATTATTCCCAATGAGAATGGAACAGTTATGTAGTGTTTCTCGGCATTTCAGCATAGATTGGCCTCACTGGAACGAGGAAATCTCCGTCGACTATAGAATGTACCAAGCAATCCAACAATTACTCTTATGTGAGAAGCTTGCCGAAGATGGAATAGGAAGGAGATAGATAGGACGTACAGTAAAGTGAGGCTTCCGAATATCGCACAGTGGAGATGCATCTGCTAACGGGTGCTCAGTGAACACGAAGCTGAATCTCGTGTTGTCCGCAGTGCAGCGATCCGTCGAGGGCAGAACGCGATCTGGTGGAATGAACAACAAGTTACCCGCAGTCGAATTAGCCGTGGTGATTCCTGCGCATTTTCCAAAGAATCGCAGCCAATGTGCCGACAAAAACAAGTTTCACTGAGGATTTTTGTGTCCTCTCCGACAGGAAAAACTACAAGTAATATAACATTGCCTGGCGATATGGTCACGCACTGACAACTGATGCCGCCTAGGTGGTCTGTTTGGTGTTCAGGCCAAAAAACAGATAGCTACGCAAAGATCATGGGTTTTTCATTGCAAATACCAGCTTTCAGCACCACAAAACACTTTTTTTTCTACGTGACGACAACCGAACCACAAGCAATCGTTTGCACCGCAGGACGACCTAGCGGTTGGATAACGGAATTGGGAATATCGTTTTTGATGGACCTGCGGTACGGACATCGATCGCTGCGAGCTTCATTGGCCGTTCATTCCTCGAAACGAAAACCTAACTATCAACTCGAGGCAGCATTTCTGTCTTAGCAACTCAAAAAAGCATTCCTGACAGGTAGACTGAGTGAAAATTGAAACAATCTTCGGGTTATTCGTAGTGCCAGGATATCAGGAAGGTCAGCTTCCTGAAAGCAACCACTGATTGCCCGGAACCTACGGAGACTCTCAGCTCCGCTGGGTGTTGACCAGACAGACAACGCCCCCTCAATATGCAGCGCGTCACGACCTTGCATCAAACCCAGACAGCGCGAGTCAGCGTTGATCAAGGACAGACAACGCCTCCGCAATATGCAGCACGTCGCTGCCTCGTACTAAAGCCAGACCGCGTGCGTCAGCATTGGACCAAGTTCAGACAGTGTCCTTCCAATAAAAAGCTTGAGGCCGTTGTACTTTTCGCACTCGCACACACTCGCGCTCTCGCAACCACTTTGTTGGAATATGGTTATTGTGTTCCCTTTCGTGAGCCTTTTTCTCTCCGACACTAGGCACTGGAGCGGGTCAGCAGCAGATACCACAGGCCGGCTAATCAGCAGATATAACACAGGATATTTTGTTATTCAGGATGAGGTTTCGTCCTGTCGGTGAGGCCAATCCGTGGTGAAAAGCCAGGAAGCTCTCTAAGTCTGTTTCATGCTAACTGAAGATCATCCACGGTGCTCGTTTTACGAAACGCGGAGTTTTCGACCCGCCGAATGGTCATGTGTTCAACCACTGGCCGCTAGGTGTAGGTTTGCCCTTAGGAACTTCTTCCACGACTCGCAGTGTGACGCTACAAATAAGAGGTCACTCAACAGGGGGTACAGAACAACTCCACTCTTAGGGCGGCTGTTGAAACAGAAACTCAATCGGGTGTATCGTCACAACCTTCGAACTGCTTTGTAATGCGCTCTGAGTGGATTTATTTGCTTATCCGTATTAAAGAACATCGGGTTCCTCCAAACAAATCTGTGGACCAGGTTCTAGTGAGCTAAAGGCATTATATCAACCTCAAATATTCGGCTTTCCATGGAAATACCCGTAATATAATTTCATCTTCGCGCAGAGTAAATCGAACGGAATAATTCAACGAATAACGCCGCTTTATCATCAGAAAATACACAGATTTTTGCCAACCTATGAACGTCGTAAGTTCGTCATGGCAGCAACAGTTAAAGAAGGCTAATCTCAGAGGGGTTCTCGTCTGTTTTGAAATTCCAAAAGGTCAAATCTCCGTCCAAGTTGACCATTTAACAAAAACGGTTGAGTGCATACCACCCACTGAAAGTAAATTTCGTCTTTCAATTAAGGAAACAAATAACTAACGGTTTTGTTTCTTCAAAAGACTTCCGGTCAGACAGGCTGGCATTGACAGATTGCCCTTTTCATACTCATACACTAAGGATAACAAATGCCCAAAGATAACATAAAATGCGAGTTGCGAAATTTGTCCTGTTGGACCGACGCGCTCAAACAAAATTTTGCCGGTCCATTTTACTTGCTTCAAATATCTGGAGAGAAAAGTGAGTATTTTATTCCTTTATTTGTGATATTGTTTTAGAAAAGATTGCCAGTAAGTCGGAATTTATCTTAACTCTTGTTCGTAATAGGTGGAGGAATTCATCCTAACCGAGTCCCAACTATTGGTCACAAAGCACAGAAACAATGAAACCTGCCAGTTTCTCCTTGGCGTTTGATTTCATACCAAATGGAACGGCTTTCGTCATTGTCACTTGCTTTAAGTAAATTCATTAGTTCGATCCTAAATGTCTCACCAAATAAATATCAGTGACGCTTGTTCTCCCGTAGACTACTTGCACAACCGGTCGTGGAACACCTCTCCGTTTCAATCAGCGAATCCGGCTAGACAAGGTGTGCACACCGTCTTCTCAGAATCTGCTGGAATAGGAAAGAAGGGCTCAGTTAATTCACCTGGATATCCTACCCGCTATCCCCTGTCAACGTTCAAGGCGTACACGTTTACCGGTCAACCATACGAGCATGTCTATCTGAAATTCCTCATGGTGGAGCTTGGGAAAAGGAACCGGTTAGTTACTAGAACGCACTACCTGAATAGTGCTCAACCCTATCTATCCTTTGATTTTAGAAGGATTCTGAGCTGATCCCATGATAACCTGCAATTCAGATTCCATACATTCTTCCCATGTTTTCCCAACTGGGTGGT